CCAAAAAGCCGGAAACACAGGATTTGCCGGACCCGCAAGTAAAAATGCGATTTTTTAGTACTGAAATCGATGGTTTTGGGCGCCCCTCCATTTTATCCCCAAAAGGGCCAGGAAAGCCCCAGGAAGCCCCCAAGGGCTACCAAAAGGCTTTTAAAAGCCACCAAAAAGCTTCAAAAAGCCACCAAAAAGCCGGAAACCAAGGATTTGCCAGACCCGCAAGTAAAAATGCGATTTTTTTTAGTACTGAAATCGATGGTTTTGGGCGCCCCTCCATTTTACCCCCAAAAGGGCCAGGAAAGCCCCAGGAAGCCCCCAAGGGCTACCAAAAAACTTTAAAAGCCACCAAAAGGCTTTAAAAAGCTTCCCAAAAAGCCAGAAACACAGGATTTGCTAGACCCGCAAGTAAAAATGTTATTTTTTAGTACTGAAATCGATGGTTTTGGGCGCCCCTCCATTTTATCCCCAAAAGGGCCAGGAAAGCTCCAGGAAGCCCCCCAAGGGCTACCAAAAGGCTTTAAAAGCCACCAAAAGGCTCCAAAAAGCTTCCCAAAAAGCCGGAAACCCAGGATTTGCCAGACTTGCAAGTAAAAATGCGTTTTTTAGTGCTGAAATCGATAGTTTTGGGCGCCCCTCCATTTTATCCCCAAAAGGGCCAGGAAAGCTCCAGGAAGCCCACAAGGGCTACCAAAAGGCTTTAAAAGCCGCCAAAAGGCTCCAAAAAGCCTCCCAAAAAGCCGGGAAGCCCAGGATTTGCCAGACCCGCAAGTAAAAATGCTATTTTTAGTACTGAAATCGATGGTTTTGGGCGCCCCTCCATTTTATCCCCAAAAGGGCCAGGAAAGCCCCAGGAGAAAGGCTTTAAAAGCCACCAAAAGGCTCCAAAAAGCCTTCAAAAAGCCGGAAACCCAGGATTTGCCAGATCCGCAAGTAAAAATGCGATTTTTTTAGTACTGAAATCGATGGTTTTGGGCGCCCGCCCCTCCATTTTATCCACAAAAGGGCCAAGAAAGCCCCAGGAAGCCCCCAATGGCTACCCAAGAAAGCCCCAGGAAGCGCCCAAGGGCTACCAAAAGGCTTTATGAAAAGCCAGCAAAATAAGTTTAAGGAGAATATTCCATCCTCTTATAAAGATATATATATATATATATCTTGTAAAGTTTAAGCCCTAAACCCTAAAAGGAGTAGGTTTGGGTGGTTAGGCCGCCTCCCGAACGGCGCGGGGTGGGAATATGTGGGTCGGCCTGCAGTAAGCGGGCCGAAGAGCCGCTTTTGCAGCGAACACGCCGTCCACCGCAAGAATTGCACTAGCACAGACGTCTCACCCGGACCCGAAATTCAACACCCCATTTGGGAAAAGGCGCGAAAACCCTAAACCCTAAACCCTAAACCCTAAACCCTAAACCCTAAACCCTAAACCCTAAACCCTAAACCCTAAACCCTAAACCCTAAACCCTAAACCCTCTCTACCATATATATTTAAACCTTAATTGTATTTTCAAAATTTGGCCGCTTTATTTTCAGAATTTGGCCGCTTTATTTTCAGAATTTGGCCGCTTTATTTTCAGAATTTGGCCGCTTTATTTTCAGAATGAGCCAAAATCAGGCCAAAGGCTAATTGAATTTCAGAATTTGGCCGCTTTATTTTCAGAATTTGGCCGCTTTATTTTCAGAATTTGGCCGTTTTATTTTCAGAATTTGGCCGCTTTATTTTCAGAATTTGGCCGCTTCAGAATTTGGCCGCTTTATTTTCAGAATTTGGCCGCTTTATTTTCAGAATTTGGCCGCTTTATTTTCAGAATTTGGCCGCTTTATTTTCAGAATTTGGCCGCTTTATTTTCAGAATTTGGCCGTTTTATTTTCAGAATTTGGCCGCTTTATTTTCAGAATTTGGCCGCTTTATTTTCAGAATTTGGCCGCTTTATTTTCAGAATTTGGCCGCTTTATTTTCAGAATTTGGCCGTTTTTGGCTTTCTCAATGTAGTGGGGTTCTCTGGGTGGGTGGGTGTTATATCCGAGCCGTAAATAAAGCTTAACCATAAAGCTGCTCGACCCGGAGTGCTGAACCCTAAACCCTAAACCCTAAACCCTAAACCCTAAACCCTAAACCCTAAACCCTAAACCCTAAACCCTAAACCCTAAACTCTTAAGCTTAAGCCTGAGTGCTCAGCTAAAGCCTTCTCACGTACAGGAGCGTAACACACCTTGACGGGAATGTAAACAAATGACCTTCTAAGTCTTACCTAGAGGTAAATGGTAATTATAGAATATAATTAAGTACTGTCAGTTCTAACACAAGAGTTATTTAATGCCCTAAAACCCTGACATCAAACCTTTTTTGGACCCTAGCGTGCTCGTGGCCAGCCAAATGCCTGGAGCCAAAAATTACTCGGGAACAGCGCGTTTTTCTTTGTCTGGCCTTGCTAAATCGTGGTTGAAGCCAAAAATGAAGCCAAAAATTACTCCAAAACAGTGCGTTTCTCTTTGCGTGGCCTCTCTGAAGCTCTTTCGAAGGTCTGAAGGAGGCTGAAAGCTTTTTTGAAGGTCCCAGGGAGGCTCCGTGGGGGGTACCCCAGGATTCGGGAAAAATGGCTCGATTCCCAATTAATTTTAAATAGATTTTATATAGCGGAAATTACCCCCTCATTTTCTAAAATTCTGGCCTTCTTGTGGGGGTAGCCCAGGAGAGGGTAAGCCACCCTAAGCCCCAGTCAAACCCGGATCAAAAAATGGACCCTCGAGTGCTCGTGGCCAGCCAAAGGCCTTGGAGCCAAAAATTACTCGGGAACAGCGCGTTTTTCTTTGTCTGGCCTTGCTAAATCGTGGTTGAAGCCAAAAATGAAGCCCAGTCAAACCCGGATCAAAAAATGGACCCTCGAGTGCTCGTGGCCAGCCAAATGCCTGGAGCCAAAAATTACTCGGGAACAGCGCGTTTTTCCTTGTCTGGCCTTGCTAAATGGCTTCTCTGAAGCCACCCTAAGCCCCAGTCAAACCCGGATCAAAAAATGGACCCTCGAGTGCTCGTGGCCAGCCAAATGCCTGGAGCCAAAAATTACTCGGGAACAGCACGTTTTTCTTTGTCTGGCCTTGCTAAATCGTGCTTGGGGCCAAAAATTACTCCAAAACAGTGCGTTTCTTTGTGCGTGGTCTCTTTAAGTGCGTTTTTCTTTGTCTGGCCTTTCTAAATCGTGCTTGGAGCCAAAAATTACTCCAAAACAAGGCGTTTTTCTGTGTGGAGTACCCCACAGGAGGGGGTAAGCCCCCCTAAGCCACCCAAAGGCCTTAGCAAGCCGACTTTCTAGTCTTACCTAGAAGTAAATGGTAATTATGGAACATAATTACAGCCATTTACTGTGTAAGTGCATGGTCTTTTGTTTCTCACATTTTCTGTAATCTCTTTACCAGACACTATTATCAATATTAGCGACGCTTAAGAACTTAAGCGTCCTACAGATGCTTTGGGTGGCATCCTGGGGTGGGAGAAAGTAGAGCTCCATGTACATGACGGAACTCTTTTGCGCTGAAGGTTTCGGACGTCCGTCTCTCTTTCCATACACTACGCATGTTAAATCGACAAGCCCTAAACCCTAAACCCTAAACCCTAAACCCTAAACCCTAAACCCTAAACCCTAAACCCTAAACCCTAAACCCTAAACCCTAAACCCTAAACCCTAAACCCTAAACTTAGTGAGGGGTCGCTTCCGTCGAGCGACAGACCCCGAACGGCTTGGCCGAGGGCTCACAGCCCGAGCGCCCACACGAAAAGAGCGGGCCGCGGAGAGGTGAGGGTAAAGCCTCACCGGCTTGTCCTGTACAGGCCAACGACCCTGGCCTTGCTGGCCTAAGGGATGGCCGTATCCAGACCACCTTTAGTGTTAACTCTCGTAGAACCCCAAACCTGAAGCCGTTGGGGTGGTTTAGGGTTTCGGAGGCTTGCCGCGCCCCCCCCCCCGGGGGCCCCCTGCCCCTGGTGGCTGGATTCCTGGACCAGGGGGCGTCGAGGGGGTCCAGGCAGGCTGGTTGCTCAATTTCGTGATTTTTGGGAGAAACGGGCATTGGTCGGGCTGTTGGGGGTGCCGGCCCCCCCCCGCCCGGGGGCCCCCTGCCCCTGGTGGCTGGATTCCTGGACCAGGGGGCCGTCGAGGGGGTCCAGGCAGGCTGGTTGCTCAATTCCCCTGGTGGCTGGATTCCTGGACCAGGGGGCCGTCGAGGGCGTCCAGGCCGGCTGGTTGCTCAATTTCGTGATTTTTGGGGCTGTTATCACTCCCGTGCGCCTCCTCAGGGCCTGAGGTGCTTGCAGACGTTCAGGATTTAATGTTCAGGGCGGCCGAACAGGGCAAGAAGCCTCGGCCCGAACAGGGTCGAGACGCTTTCCGACCTCAATACTGCTTTCGAGCCGCAAGAGGGCTGGGCGATGGCAGGAAACGCGTGGGCCTCTGAGGCAGAGGGGCCGAAGCGTTCAGGATTTAGTGTTCAGGGCGGTCCGAACAGGGCAAGAAGCCTCGGCCCGAGCAGGGTCGAGGTTACCACCAGGCGTTTTTCGAACCTCAATAGATGCTTTCGAGCCTCAAGAGGGCTGGACGATGATTTAGTGTTCAGGGCGGTCCGAACAGGGCAAGAATCCTCGGCCCGAGCAGGGTCGAGGTTACCACCAAGCGTTTTTCGAACCTCAATACATGCTTTCGAGCCTCAAGTGGGCTGGGCGATGACGACTTGAAATGCGTCTTGGGTTGAGGTGAAAGCCCCGCTTGAGGGGGGTTGGGGGGGTGAACCCTAAACCCTAATTGAGAATAGTTTGGGTGGCCGGGGCGGGTGTACGGGCAACGCGAGCGCGCGGCCCGGGGTGCTTCACACCCGAGCGCGCGACCTCGCACGCACACCCTAAACCCTAAACCCTAAACCCTAAACCCTAAACCCTAAACCCTAAACCCTAAACCCTGAACCCTAAACCCTAAACCCTAAACCCCAAACCCTAAACCGTTCTGCGCGAGTTGTCTGCAGAGGCTGCGCAAGCTTTGTCGCCCTTGGAGATCGATGTGGGCCCGGTCGTGCGCGCCGAGCACAAGTCCGGTTACCGCCAGAAGACGACCATGATTCGCTTCCGCTGGCAGACGACTACAGTGAAGAAGCGCATCAAGCACCTGCAGGCCAGGCGTTGAGGCGTTGAGTATGCAGGTGTCCTATCAGAATCTTTACATTTAACATTTTCAGCAATGCGTTTGCTCGCTGACGTGGCCAGGACGTGGACGCGCGGACGAAGGCCCGGGTAGCCTACAACTTCTTGATGGCCTCGGAGGACACACCCTACGCGACCTTTGTGGTCGAGCACGCAGAGTTTCTGGAAGAACACCCCGGTGCCGACGAGCTCACTCGCCGTCGCCGGCTGCAATTCATTGAACGTGTCGGCGTGGAGTGCGCCCTCTGGCCTGGTTTGTTTTGGGATGTGAAGCGCACCTTCACTCACGAGCGTGCCACAGATCCCAGGCGGGTGATTCGGCAGGAGCGGGCAGCCACCTTGGAGGACGTGCTGAACGCCGGTCGGCCCGCTGGGCGTGTTGCCTTTCCTGCAGAAAGCGATGAGGAGGTGGAGGGCAACGACGACAGCGAAGAGGAGAGCCAGCTGGCAGACAAGGAGGACGCAGAAGCAAATGACGCCACGCGCCACAGCATGAAACGGCTCTTTGCTGCCTTGGCACTGGGTCGTCTCCTGGGCTATGCTGCAGACTTCGAGCTGCTCCAGTTCGTCTATGACCTCAACCTCTGGAGCAGCATCGGTTCAAAGAAGAACCTGCAGACGCCGACGCCCATGCGCCTTATGCTCAAGGGCGAGGCCTTCAGCCCTCACTATTGGCGTGGAGTGCACTACGCCTTGCTAGACATGGTGCGGCAGGTCGGCTACCCTCGCATCTTCTTCACCATCGCCCCCTACGAATGGAGCTTCCCCTACCACGAGTGGGTCCGCGACGAGATGCAGAAGATGCTCAAGGAGCGCCTCTTCCTGCCGGTGGCGGAGACGCTGCACATAGTGCACGTCATGGTCCAGGCTGTGAAAGGCTTGTTGTTGGGGCGAACGGGGGGACATGGGCACAAAGCGTGGAAGAGCAACATCTTCCGTGTTTTTGACGAGCAGGGACAGGTCTGTCGCCTGCACTTCTTCCTGCGGCTCGAGTATCAGGATGGCACTCGCAAGGCAGCCACGCAGGACTACCACGGCTCCGGCCGGGTCCACGTGCATGTCGTCATCTTCGTGAAGCCTGAGCACGTCGAGCAGCTGGATCTGGCGGAGACCGTGTCCGCCACTTTGCCTGAAGACGCGGACCTCCGTGGCTACGTCGAAGGAAGCCAGTACGACCAGGAAAAGAAGAGCGGCTGGCCCATCCACGAGGCACCCACCTGCTTCGACCACGAGGCTGGCGCTTGGCGCTTGCAGCACACGGAGGACGACCACGCCGAAGGCCTGCGGCCCTACCTCGTCGACCTTATGGAGGTGCTCCGTTGCCACCAAGACTTCCAGATGTGCGACGACGACGGCCTACTCCGCGCCTACGTCACCAAGTACGTTAGCAAGTTCTCGGACGCGGCCAGCGAGGAGTGGCTCAACGACGACGCTGACGCCATGAGCATCGCCGCCACCGTCCTCATGCGCTACCGGCCGCTGGAGCCCGAGATGGTGCTGCAGCTCTTCGGCGCCAAGTTCCGCCAGTGGCACCTCTCCACCCAGAGCGGCGGCAAGCGCGACGTCGTGGCGCCCTATCCAGACCAGGAGCCCAAGCTCCGCGAGGTGGAGCTGTACGAGCAGGCGGAATGGGCTCGTGGCCGCGTCAGCTTGCTCGATTACCTGCGCAAGACCACGGCCGAGGGGAAGATCTGCCACTGGCTCCAGAAGAAGCACGTGCAGTCCGGCAGTGAGGCCACCCTGGAGGACTTTGCTGCGAACTACGCGATGCAAGGCGAGAAAGTCGTGGCCGCCGAGACGGTTTCCAAGTTCAACGACCGCTACTTTGGCCAGTGGCTCACGCTTCATGTCCCCTTCGAGAAAGCCACGGACTTCTGCGTGCCGGAGCACGTCGCCCAACGGCTTCCGGAGGCACACAAGTACTTCGCCATGGCAATCCTCTGCGAGCACCCGGTGGCGCAGGCCATGTGGCAGGACGACGAGAAGATCCGTGCGGAGCTCAAGATGGAAGCGCACACCAAGGACCACGTGGACACCATCCTGGCCATGATCCGTGCGCACCGCGGCTTGCTTCAGGAATACCTCGATGGCTCCCTGGATGCCCGAAAGGACCGGCAAACCCAGGAGCAGTGCCGCGGCAAGACAAAGGCCCCCAAGAAGAAAGCAGGCCCCGTGGATGCCAGCAAGTTCAACAGACAGCAACTCCGTGCCTCGTCTGCATTAAAAAATCTGGCGGAGATGTCTTGTGTAATTTTACGTTCGCGCTCGCCTGCACTTATAGAATTCTTCTCTGGCTTTCCGAGGCTTCAAGGAGCTCGTGGACACCGCAGTGGACAGAGCGCTGGCCATCGAGGATGCCGAGGACGAGGGCGAGGCGGATCGTCTGCGACAAGAGGCGCGGGGCAGCAAGGCCAACGTGTGCCTGGGGCCGCCCGGGACCGGCAAGACCACGGTGGTCTTCTCTTGCGTCGACCGTGCCCTTGCCAAGGGCGGCAAGGTGTTGATGGCTTTGCCGACCGCCCAGTTGGCCAGCCGCATGAAGGCACGCTACGGCCACAAGGTGGACATCGACACTTGCCACGCTGCGTTCGGCCTGCACGAGTCTGCAGAGCACGGCGAAGCATCCTTGCTGACCATGTACTCCCTCATCGTCGTGGACGAGCTCTCGCAGCTGGACATGGTCAACTTTGAGAAGATCTTGAAGCTCTGGGCAGCTGCGGAGCGTGTGCCAGCGCTGGCGTTGCTGGGCGACCGGTACCAGATGCCCGGCATGGGGGAGAAGCGGCCTTGGCACGGGCGCCTCTGGAACACGCTCTGCTACCGGGTGGCCCTCCACAAGATGTACCGCTGCAAGGACAAGGCGCACGCCAAGCTCCTGGCAACACTCAGGACCGGCAAGCCGAACGCCAAGAAGATGGCTTGGCGGCCCCCGGGCCGGCCGACGGTGAAGGGACTCCAGAAGCTCCTCAAATCCAAGCCCAACACGACCATCCTGACGTGCACCAGGCGGGGCGCTGCTGTGGTCAATGCAACTGCTTTGAAAGCCCTCTTCCCGAAGTACCCTCCGCTTGCGACTTTGCCAGCTGACGTGGACTCCAATCCGGAGAACTATGTACAAGGCAAGCTGAAGCCACCTGCAGAGCTGGAGCCCTGAAATGGAATGGTATTCCTTCTTGCCAAAAGCAAAAAAGAAAACTCGCTCAAAACTTTCGCCCAAAACCCGCCCAAAACCCGCCCAAAACCCGCCCAAAACCCGCCCAAAACTTTCGCCCAAAACTCCGGACACAAACCCTATACAATTTCTACTCGCTCAAAAACCGTCCAAAACCCACCCAAAACCCGCCCAAACTCCAGACACAAACCCTATATTTCTCTGCCTAAAGCAAAAAAGAAAACTCGCTCAAAACCCGCACAAAACTTTCGCTCAAAACTTTCGCTCAAAACTTTCGCTCAAAACCCGCTCAAAACCCGCCCAAAACCCCCCAAAACTCCGGACACAAACCCTATACAATTTCTATAAACCCTAAACCCTAAACCCTAAACCCTAAACCCTAAACCCTAAACCCTAAACCCTAAACCCTAAACCCTAAACCCTAAACCCTAAACCCTAAACCCTAAAACCCTAAACCCTAAACCCTAAACCCTAAACCCTAAACCCTAACCCTAACCCTAAACCCTAAACCCTAAACCCTAAACCCTAAACCGAACCGAACCCTAAACCCTGGAAAAACCCAAGGGGATACCTTACTAAAGCCTCACATCCTTGTGTTCTGGAGTATTGGAAGCAGCTTAATTGGAAAAACCCGAGGGGATACCTTACTAAAGCCTCACATCCTTGTGTTCTGGAGTATTGGAAGCAGCTTAATTGGAAAAACCCGAGGGGATACCTTACTAAACCCTAAACCCTAAACCCTAAACCCTAAACCCTAAACCCTAAACCCTAAACCCTAAACCCTAAACCCTAAACCCTAAACCGGCACTGCTGTACTAGCAGTGCCGGAATGTTGTGGAGTGCACACGACACAACAAGACAACTTACTTCGAATGTCAACTTAACGTCCTCGTCAACTTTCTCTTAGATGGACCTAGCTCTGATACTAACTAACCCCAAACCCTGCTGACCAGCCCTGGGCCCAAACGTTGACGTTCAACGTTTGGGGGGTCCAAACCTGGAAACCTGCACGTTTGGGGGCCCAAACCTGGAAACCTCAACGTTTTGGACCTTGAAACCTCAACGTTTGGGGGGTCCAAACCTTGAAACCTCAACGTTTGGGGGGTCCAAACCTTGAAACCTCAACGTTTGGGGGGTCCAAATCTTGAAACCTCAACGTTTGGGGGGTCCAAACCTTGAAACCTCAACGTTTGGGGGGTCCAAACCTTGAAACCTCAACGTTTGGGGGGTCCAAACCTTGAAACCTCAACGTTTGGGGGGTCCAAACCTTGAAACCTCAACGTTTGGGGGGTCCAAACCTTGAAACCTCAACGTTTGGGGGGTCCAAACCTTGAAACCTCAACGTTTGGGGGGTCCAAACCTTGAAACCTCAACGTTTGGGGGGTCCAAACCTTGAAACCTCAACGTTTGGGGGGTCCAAACCTTGAAACCTCAACGTTTGGGGGGTCCAAACCTTGAAACCTCAACGTTTGGGGGGTCCAAACCTTGAAACCTCAACGTTTGGGGGGTCCAAACCTTGAAACCTCAACGTTTGGGGGGTCCAAACCTTGAAACCTCAACGTTTGGGGGGTCCAAACCTTGAAACCTCAACGTTTGGGGGGTCCAAAACTTGAAACCTCAATGTTTGGGGGGTCCAAACCTTGAGTTAAAAATGCGATTTTTTAGTACTGAAATCGACACTTCTGGGTGGTCTCTCGTTTTCTAGATTTTTGACCAAAACCGAGCCTTCACCGGCTTCAAGATTTCAACTTTTTCAAGGTTCTTCAGGGTTTTCAGAGTTTTTCAGTGTTTTTTAAGGTTTTTCAATGTTTTTCAGGATGTTTCAGGGTTTGTAACCCTCACTTCTGATGAAGGGCCGCCCCCACGACCTTTTCACAGCCTAGTTTTGGTCAAGGGGGGGTCGTATTTTTCAATTTTAAAGGCAAAATAGTCTTCTGAGACCCCCCCTTGCCTCAAACTCCGACCCCCCTTGAGAGGGAAAGTTTGCCTCCAAAAACACCCCAAATGAGGGGGACCCCAGGATCGGCCCGGGTCCCAGTTAAAAATGCGATTTTTTAGTACTGAAATCGACGCTTCTGGGTGGTCTCTCGTTTTCTGGATTTTTGACCAAAACCGAGCCTTCACCGGTTTCAGGATTTCAAGTCCCGCCCGTCTATGGGGGCCGATGAAATGGTTCGTGGGTAGGATGGTCCATGACAGAGTGAGGTTGGAGGACAGGGCTTGCTGATGAGAAATGTAAACTTTTTTTTTCTTAATGTTTCGGGATTCTGAACGGGGGGCCGAGGAGAGTCGAGCTTTAGGTCTGGGTGGTTTTGGGGTGGGACCAACAGCCTGCCGCGCGTATGTTGGTGCCTTTCTTTTTTCGGCACCAACATACAACTAATGCGACACCCTAAACCCTAAACCCTAAACCCTAAACCCTAAACCCTAAACCCTAAACCCTAAACCCTAAACCCTAAACCCTAAACCCTAAACCCTAAACCCTAAACCCTAAATTCCCACCCGGCCTGCTTCGGCCGTACCCACCCTTTTCTAGGGTGCCTGGACCCAGAAGATATCCGGCAGTGATGAACACCTTGACTGGATAAACAATGGGTGGCGGTATTGGAGAATGGTCGAATAGAGAGCCCCTCGGGCTCGCCTTGCCATTAGGCCACCAGAGTGGCGCCCATATTTACACAGGGATCCTCCGATCCTTCTCTTGATGAGAATACCCTAAAACGAACGGCCCAAGCCCTCAAAGGTGCACCACCCTGGAGCCCCTGGGCCCCCCTCTGGAGGCCCCTGGACCCCGACCCGAAAATGCTGAAATCCGGTGTCCGCCATGGGGGGTACCCCAGCAAAAAAAAACCGATTTCGCTTTCCAACCCCCCAAAAACCCCCCGTGCCGGTCGACCCCCCCCTCCCCCCAAACCCCCCTGGCCAGCCGCGCCTGCCCTGGCCCCCCTGGACCCCCCTAAAGCCCCTGGCCCCCCCTCTCCCCCCCCCCTCCCCTCCCCCCCCCCCCCCCCTCTGCCCCCCCCCCCCTCCTTCACCACGCCTTTGTGGGAGCAATGGTGGGAATTGAGGGCGACAGCCCTAAACCCTAAAAGGTAGTGGTTTGGGTGGTGGCCTGTGAAAGCTCACAGTGGGTGGGGAGAAAGAACCCAGCACCAATGAAATTGTTGGATTACATTCAAAACAGATGCCTTCGCGTGACACGCCGCCCCCCCACACCCCCTGGGTGTGTAGGGGCGCCATTTACACATGGTACTTACTGCCGCTGCGCGGCGAGACGCCCTAAACCCTAAACCCTATACGGGGGGAACCCGAACAGGGACGAGAAACCGAACAGTCAACCCCAACAGAAACCCTTGATTTCCCTGGATCAACCACACAACAAACCCAAACCACAGGGCACTCACCTTTTACTACCAGGCACATGGCCCAGTCTTGAGCCATAAAAATAATTTCCGGGTTTATTAACCCTTTCAACTTCCAACACTAACTCTTTTTACAATACCAGTTGCAGCTCCGCACTCCCCCTGTCCTAGGATTTCCTAGGACACATTGGAGATGCAGATCTTTGGCCAAAAACTGCCATTAGGGCAGTAGCCTGCTGCTTGACATGCACAATATGGTTTAACGTCTTCCAGGACGCCCCTTCAGCTCATTGGCCGAATCCCTTACCACTGAGGATTTCTTCACCTCGAACTTGAAAAAGTTTATGTTCCAGCGGCCCGTTCCTCACCAAGGAACTCAGCATTCACCACCCAGCCATCCTTGAGGCAATGCTTGCAAAGCGTCTTAGCCCTGGGCTGTGAATATCGCAGAACATCACAATCACTGCTTGCGTGCATACAGTTCCCACCCACTGTTGTATACAGAGTGGCACTCGCAGGAATAACCACCACTTTCTTGATCCACAGCCATTTGTACAGCCGCCGAAAGAGGCACCATGTCAATTCCCAGATTATGATTGCTGCCACCAAATACGCAACAAGGTCTGAATTGTTGATAACCATTTCAATGCCTTGAGCCAGAACCATAACCGTAGATGTGTTGGCGACCTGGCACACCCCTTCTTCTGAGCAAAAGAAACCAGCAGCTGACACTTCTTCTCCACCTGTTGCCATCCCTTGCAGGGATGCAGCCACCATCATGACCGCCATTGCAAGAGAGGCCCTTTTCAAGTCAGTTCCTTGCACTAACAGTTGGAGACCCCAAAGTGCCTTTTGCTTTGCATAAACCTGTCCACTCATCAATTTTGTCAACAGGTCAGCAATCATATACTCACCACGAAGATGCGCTATCACCATGTAACCACGGTCCACCAGAGACCTGACACCAGCTGCTCGAATTCTCAGGTGTCTTGTTCTCCAGCTACCAGCAGGATATTGAATGATTGAACACGTCGAAACCGAATCTGTATACAGCACCTTTTGCAGCGATTCTTCACCTGTTCCAACCAAAGCGGCAATTATAGGGGTACACGACTGGATCATCGTTGCTCCCTCTATAGACGCATGCAATTCAGCTTCAGCAGTGCTCAAAGCCACCGTTGATTGTCTCTGCGTTGCCCACATCACTGGACAATCACCCCAAACCACCACCGCTCCTGAGTGGCTCTTTTCGTTTTCACCTGCTGCAAAGCTAGCATCCGCGTAAGACTCCACCACCTTGACGCCTCGCCCATAACGCAACACCTCATTCCTTTCTTTTTCGCATGTTGCGATTGCACCAAACGTCAGGCCTAACGTTGGAGTTGCAGCAAGGTATCGAAATACCTCCTCAGCCTTTTTAACCACAAATCGCGGCCTTCGGGATGTCCACAAAGACAACTGGCTTGTGCAGAAAGCCAAATCAGGTCGAGTTTTGATTGCCACCCAGAGGAACTCCCCTACGGCACCTTGAGCCGCTCGCAAGGAGGGAATATCCACCTCCTCTTCTTCACCTGGAGTTTCTTTCACCATTGGCAGGTTACTACCTTTTCCAGTTTCATC